AACCACATAATCTTTCCGAGTACTTGGTTAAGAGTTGTAGTCCTCAACTTTCTACCTTATTCAACCACTAATTAAGCACCTAGAGGATACGTATTCTCAACACACCTCAAAAACCCATTCTAAGAGACACACATGCTTAAGGAGGGTTTTTCAATAGTAGCCTACTCGAGCACCACTCCAACATACCCTATGCGGGATCTTTTTTTTTTTTTTTTTATAAATAATTTTCTTTCCTCAAGTCCTAAGTTAGCCAACATGTTTTAATGTCATATCGCATTCTCAGCATCCACACCTCATCATTCATCATCTATATGCATCACATCTGGTCAATATATATAGAGATCAACAACAACATCATCCATATAGGATATATCAATGCTTTCCAAAATCATACATCATACCTATGTACATACATATACTCATCATCATCCAACACCATAAAAATATCTACATATGTCATATCTAATCAAAAATATGTAGAACCATCATCATACACCATAAAACATGAAATAGAACTCAAAACATATATTCATGTTCATCATACAACATGTATCAACATACAACTTAATTATTAGAAACAACTATCTTATAATGGAAACCTTCACATAAAACAATGCATAGGGAGTTTTACTACCCTAATCAAACACATATTTATCTCACATGAAAGATAAAAAGGTTCTCTACAACTCTTTTGAAGACTTCAAATTCTAACTCCATCATTTACTATACTAAAAATCACAAAAATCGTAACAGTTTGCCTAAATGTTGACAACTTGATCTTTACTCACTAAAAAAAGTCATAATTAGAGTTTTAGACCTTCTTTTTAAGTGATTTAAAAGTAATTGGAAAGCTAACATCCAATGCTACAATTTTTATGAAGACCACAAAAGCAAATTCGTCCATCTACTTGTTTAAACAAGTCAATATTTTACTTAAGCGAGGTCAACTCGCTTAGAGTGACTAATAGCTCACACTAAGCAATCACAATTCGCTCAAAGCATTCGAAAACTCACTCTAAGCGACCCAAATGAGAGATATCATCTTTGAGAAACCACCAAGACTTGCTTAGAGCGACCCCCATGGGCGCTTTAAGCGACCAAACCCAAAAAATATGTAGATTCAAAGCTTAAGAACATCAACCCAGCAAAACACTTCAATCATCCAAAAATCCACCTAGCCCATACATTAATTCATGCATGCTACTCAATCATTCATACATATACCTTCTCAACAACTCATTTTTCCCCAAAACCACCACATGAAACTACAAAAGATGTCAAGATCATCAAAATCATCTCAACCACCTCAAGAACAACCAAACCCCACCAAAATAACCTTTAAATCTACAAATCCTCTAATTCATGAAACAATTGATAATCTCACTCACATACAACACAACAATTGAATCAACCATTCATCCTAACTTCCTTTACCTCGATTTTGAGCTTTTTGAAAAAGAAGGATAGGAAGAAGAAGAAAAGAGGCTTCGAGCTTTTGATCTCCACTAGCTCTGCACCACCCAACTCAGATTCTCAACTTTCAAATGCTTTGAATCCACTGTCCAACAACATTCGTCATGCACCAAAGGGACAGGAAGAAGAAAATAAGAAATGGTTCTCTCTATAAATTCTTTCTTTAAGGTCTAAAAATTATGAACTTTTGAAGCTTAACTCAAAATAGAACCTTATATAACTTCCCCTCTCAAGGTCAACTGAACCTTTGGCTAGACACCCTCGCAACTTACCCAACTTACCTTAGTACAGTCATAATAGAGATAGTTGTAGAGATTTATGTTGAAATGAACTTTTGTTTCTATTATAAATCATTTTAATTCTAACAACGGACTCAAACACAACAAGTATATCGGTCGTACAAGTAGTAAATTCAAATCGTATCCACAAGGACTAGTTAGGTAAAAGAAGCATTTAATGACTATTTGTGACTAAAGAATAATTCCAAATTTTTCATAGATTGTCATGCAATTGAAATAAAGGTTATGACTTGTTGGAATTTTAAACCTATAAAACTAATTGTGTGTGTGGAAGGGATAGAAAATGGTATTGTGAATTTGTGAGATTGTGAGGTCAGATATCACCAAACTTCCTTCTAATGAATCATTGTTCTCTTATTGCATTCATTGCCTAGTCAACCCATAAGTCTACTCAAACCTAATCCCTTAGAGCAAGAGCCTAGGTGCATATATTGAATATCAATTCCTTAAGTATCCAATATATATACCTGTAATACGGGTTAGGGTTTAAGACTACTAATGGGCCAAGCTTCATTCCTAGATACATTTCCCACTAGGTATTTTGTTTCAGAGCTAGATTCAAAGGCTATTTTCCAATACCCAATGGACTCTATATCAAGCAAAGGAGAATCAATCCAAAGCAAGCATTAATAATAGAAACACAACACAACAATGAATGAAATAAACATATATCATTGATAAGTTAAAGATTACAAACGATTTTAGTTGGTTACATCTAATCCCATAAAATAATGGGTAGAACCGCTCAAAACAATGAAGGTAAACAAAAATAGAGATGGAAGAACCGAAGGAAAGACCCACACACAACACGGTCCCAAGCACCGGGAATCCCTTCCACAGCTCCTAGAAGTCGCCCTATGTGTGAATGAGGAAGAAAGCCTCGAAGGTTTGATCAAGTACGAGCTGGGTGAGCCAGGATAAGGTTTACACGCCCGGCGTGTTATACTTCACACCCAGCGCAGGGTCTTCTAGAAAGGTAATTACTCTCTATCTCGAGTCACGCCCGACGCGAATACTCCTGCACCCGGCGCAATGTCTTCCAGAGAGTTTAAATGCTCTCTGTCTTGAAGCACGCCCGACACGGATGCTCTTGCACCCGACACAATGCTGAGATGCAGATTGTGTTGTTCTCTATCTTGCACAAGCCCGACGTGGGTACTATTAAGCCCAGCGTGATATCACTTCTCCTACTCCTTAGCTCTTTTAAGTTCCAATCCAATGGGTCTCCATCCTCAACTCTTCAACTCAATACCTGCACAAAAAATGAGGTGTATCAGGGTATTGTCAGATGAATTTTGGGTTAGCTATATCTGCACAAAATTGAATCAAAAGAAAACAATTCTATTGCAAGAGCGCATGAGGTGAGTGGAATTGTTCAATAATTCCTATCTAAAAATCAGTATAAATGAGACTTAACAATAGCGGGATGTTGTAAGAAAAGACCAAATAAAAAGAAGTGGGGTGTCTAAAAATCATGTAGAGTGTCTAATTGGATAACTTTCTATGGGGGCAAAATGGCATGTACATCAAGTGGGGTGTGGAAGACAAGGTCATCAAAATGTTATATTTGGGGAGTGTTTGACAAGGTCTCAATGCTTGTATGTTAGTTCATTGTTGTCTGGTACCTTATTCCATGGAACCCTACATTGACGAATGTGTAAATCAACTGGTGAGGAGTGTGTTGAGGAGTCAATCCTCAAATTGCAGATGATCACCATTGGTACCTAGAAAGATTGATGTGTACGACATGATCATCCTTGGAGATGTAGGCACTGGGTTGTGACAACAGTTTTCATGTAGTCGACTTGGCAATTTCAACTGAGTATGAGCAATCATCAACTGGTGAGAGCTTGCCATTATATTGTGGTTAGGAGTGTATTCCGAAAAGTCATCCAAACTAAATAATGTAAGACCACTGAGTTTTCAAAGTTCTAATGACAATTGACCAATAGAAAATAATTAAGAAGTTTTGTAATGAAAAATGAGGGGGAATTCAAAATGTATCGAGTAGATTGTTAGCTTGTGTGTGAGACTTTGATTAAAGTCGTTGTTTGCTTAACAAAGCAAGGAGATTCACCTTTACATTTAATTTTTAGGACGAGATGGTAGTACCAAGGGACATTGTAGATATATTTCTTATTCACTTTTGTCACCCTTGTATTTATTTATTTTCTTCATAGGTTTAGTTTCACATCTAGAAATTGGTTTAGCAATGATTGCTCCAAGTTTAGGACCATTTTCTTCTATGTGTTTGACCTAGGTAGACCTTAGCTTAAATTTTTTTGGCATATGTATATGAAATCATCTTTCTTTTTACTATATATTTTTTTTTTTATACTTGGGGTTGCATAGGAAAAATAGTTATGCTATGATACTTCTTATTTTTTGAGTATTTATAAGTGTTGTAATAAAAATATTGCATTTATCTTATATTAATCTCTTTTTGAACAAATGCTTGAAAACAAGATAATACTATACTTTCCTTTTTGAAATTTTAAAATGGAACATTTCATTTACTAACAGGTGTTAACATTAGAACTAATTAATGTTTTCTTTTAATTATTTATTTTAAATTTAAGCTTATATTTTCTCAACTTGCATGATTCATTAAAGAAAACGAAGCAATCACATGAAAAAAAAATCAACTTTAAATACTGATCACGTACAAGTCTAGATTTAGGGTGTCACATCAATTATTAGAAAATATTTCTAAAAAAAAATAGAGTAAATTATTAAAAAAACTACTAATATGATTTTATGTATACATTATTAGAAAAATTTGGCTTGTTTCTCAAAGTTTATATAATACTGTGTTTGAATTCATCATTTGTGCACGGAAGGTTAAAACATGTTAGAATTTATGAACAATACTAAAAAAATTCATAAAAATACGAAATATCCTTTTTTTTTATCACAAGTACTAATAATATATATAAATTTTATTTATTTAATAATAAATAAATAAATTTATATATTAATAAAAATTATAATTTATGTTAAATAAGTGAATAATTATATAATTTAAAAATATTATATATATACGTGTGTGTAATTTTAAAATTATTGAACTTTTAATAAGAGATTAAAATAGTTGAATTATAATAATTAAAAGAATAAAATTACGAAATACAAGACAATTACGCATAATGTATTGACAGAAGCCGGTGGTGGCGGGTTGAGTTTAAAATTTAAAATAAAAATGGTTTTGTATTTGACGAGGTGCAATTTTTTTGTTTCTGCAGCCCAATAGTTTGTTCAAGTGAAGGAGACGAACAACCACTTGCATGCATTTTTCAATCCAAAATAATCAACCTGGTAACTGCTAATCTTATTTGACTTTTCAGTATGCTTGCTTAATTGATCATGAGTATTGGAAATTTTTGTTATCTTGTGAATGATCCTAGTGAAATTCATCTGTTTCTATGAGGTCAAAAAGAGGAAATCGATTTTCTCTTTCTAACTCATGATGGTTCTAATTCTGAATGCGGAACCAAACACACCGTTTGGTCTCTCAATAGTCAATATTCTAGAAAGTAAACATTATTTTCAATGATTGTACCTTTTCAGGCACCTGTATTGTCATATTACTGATGGCAGAAACTAGAACTATGTTAGATAGCTGTTTGTAATAGTCAATTTTATAATTGAATTAGTTAGCGGATGACAGCTAACTGAGACATAAAGAAAGAAATTTCTGAATCTTGGATAACAATCGTAATTCTTTCTCCCTGTATTCTCTCAAGTAATAAAGTCTTGAGGTTCTTTCTTTTATAGAGCTTTTTGCAAATTGAGATTCTTCGTTCCTAGTATCTTGTGTTCTATTAGTTACCGTAACAACTGGTATCAGCAGTCTTGTTCCTGTGGCACATTTCTTACAACCATGGCAGAATCTACGCGATCACAAGCAACTTTGCATGAGTTAGAAGAAAGATTGGAAACTCGCATTTCGGAGAAAATTGAAGTGAAGATGGTGGAACTTGCGGGTGCGATGCAGAAGACATTACACGATTCATTGAAAAGGACATTAATGGAATTGTTGCAAGAAAGTCATGATAATTGTGGATCGAGACCCAGGCATCAAAATTTAGAGGGCGATCATGATTCTGGTTCTGGTAATCATCATTCTCATTATCGGGCTCCTTACGCTTGTGGCACTAGGTTGGCTAGAATTGATTTCCCTAAATTCAATGGTGAAAATGTGAATCAATGGATTTATCAATGTGAAATGTATTTTGCAATTGACCTAACTCCTGAGGAATTCAAGGTGCGGTTAGCAGTTGTGCATTTTGAAGGCAAGGCTATGCAATGGCATCATGCTTTTTCAAAATCTATAAAAAACGATAATTGGCCAACTTGGACTGCATATGTTAAATTGTTAAAAGATAGATTTGGAAGAATTTTTGAAGATCCCATGGTTGAATTGATGAATCTGAGGCAACATTCTACTGTTACCATATATCATGAAGAATTTGATGCCATAATTAATCAATTGGATTTAGCAGCAGATTATATTCTTAGCTGTTTTCTGGGAGGATTAAAGCATGATATCCAAATGTTAATACGAATGTTCCAACCTACTACTATAATGAAAGCCTTTTCACTTTCCAAACTTTATGAATCAGCAAATCAAATGGGTGGCACAGCTAAGCTTAAAAGGTACACTTCTATTTCCTTACAGCATTGTGATGTGACTGACATCATCGAGGAGTTTCCTAGAAAAGTAAATTGTTTTAGACTTAGAGTCTTCCATCTTGACAATAAGGATCCACTTCTGAGATTACCAGACAAGATTTTTAATGAAATGAAAGAACTCCGGGTGTTGATATTGATTGGCATTCATTTTTCAACCTTACCTTCATCAATTAAAAGCTTAACAAAACTCAAAATGCTTTGTTTGGAGCGATGCAAGCTAGGTCAGCATTTATATATAATAGGAGAGCTGGAAAAATTAAGAGTTCTTAGTTTAGCAGGATCTGATATTGATCGCTTACCTGTTGAATTGAGGCAGTTAGCTAAGCTACAAATTTTTGACATAAGTAATTGCTTTAAACTTGAAGTTGCTCCTGCTGATGTAATGTCAAGTTTGACATGTTTGGAAGAGTTGTATTTGAGAAATAGCCCGATTCAATGGAAAGATGGACTGGTAAATCACATTGGAAATGCAAGTCTTTCTGAACTAAAGCAACTTAATCAGTTAACAACACTAGACATGCAGATCCCAAAAATTACCCATTTGCCTAAGAACTTGTTCTTTGACAAGTTGGATAGTTACAGGATCGTCATTAGAGATTTCAATGCATATCCAGTGTGGGATTTCAAGATGCTAGAGATGTGTGAATCATCAAGATATTTGGCCCTTCAGCTAGAAAAAGGCTTTAACATTCATTATCAAAAGGGGATCAAATTACTATTCGGAAGAGTTGAAAATTTGTTATTGGGACAACTAAATGATGTCGAAGATATTTTCTATGAATTGAATTATGAAGGATTTCCATATCTAAAATATTTGTCCATTGTAAATAACTCAAAAGTGAAGTCCATCATCAACTCAAAGAACCAAAAACATCTTGAGAAAGCATTTCCCAAATTAGAGTCATTGTTTCTCTATGAAGTCAACAACATGGAGTATATATGCCACAGTGAACTTACAAATGATTCGTTCTGCAAATTGAAATCTATCAAGCTCAAAATCTGTGGTCAATTAAAGAATGTCTTCTTTTCTATGATCAAACATCTTTCTGCACTTGAAACAATTGAAGTTTATGAGTGTAACTCTTTGAAGGAGGTTGTTACCTTGGAAATGCAAAGCATTGAAGATGAAATTAACTTTCCTGAATTGCGCTCCTTAACCCTACAATCTTTGTCTGAATTTATTGGATTTTATACCTTTGGTTCATCAACAGAACAGGTGCCAAACAGGAAGCCCGATGGACTCTTTGATGGAAAGGTGTGCTCAAAATTTTCATGTTCATTTGGTTTGTTTTATATGAACTTTCAAAAATTAGATATCATGTTTGTTAAGATCAAGAAGGAAGAGTTTATGAATAATTTAAAAAATAAATTTTTGGTTGCCTATTTATTCTACTCTATGAAACCATTCTTTTTTTTTTGTCCCCATATCATAAATATTAACTTGAGAAAATCAAAATAATTTCTTTAATTTTTGTGACATTAGTTATATTTGTGTGATGATGCAGGTTGTAGTTCCCAAATTAGAGAGAATGGAGTTGTCCTCAATCAAAATACAAAAAATATGGAGTGACCAACCTTCAACAAGATCTTACTTTCAAAATTTGTTACATTTGGATGTGAATGATTGTTGGAATTTGCGATACTTACTGTCCCTTTCAATGTCGAAAAGTTTGATGAATCTCCAAAGCCTTTTCATAAGCGAATGTGGGATGATGGAGAGCATATTTATCGAAACAGAAGATAGTATGATCGAAATTGAGGTATGTTGATGGGATTACCACATATTTGAGATCTTTTAGTATACCTTTATATTGATATGTAGCTGATATCCATATCTTAGATATTAGATAATTTAAAATTTGTGTTTGTTATATATGATGATAAGGAAAAGCTTATACCGATACCTAATGTGATGTGCAAGTATTTCATGCCTGATATTTTCATGTCAAATTCTTTCAGTTTGTGAAATTTAAGATACCATAGTCATAGGGGTCATAGTACTACCAAAAATCATTTGATTTTGTGTACCTCTAAATTCCTACAGTCAGTATTTTAAATTGCATTTCTTATGTCATCCTTAACCAGTAGGCCATTTGTATATACCATTATGTAATTTATCATTAAGGTTTGTTTTATAGAATGGGGAATCTCTTTGATCCTTTCTTTTAAATTTTTCTAACCAAATTAATAATAATATTAATCATTGTTATCTTGCAGCATGCAACTTCATGGTTTTGTCTGTGTCATAATTCATGAAAACAGAATATATACCTATTGGCGATGACAATAAACAAATATAGCCATTAGCTACTCAAACCACAAATTAAACTTTGTTGTATAATGCAAGTTATTTTTCCTCTTTCTTTATTGGTTTGTTTAGTCAATCTATTGTAGTTGTTGATTTAATTAAATTTATGGCAATTATGAACCAAGCAGGAAAACATTTTTCCAAAGTTGAAGAGTATCAACTTGAAAAGCATAAAGAGATTGAAAAAGATATGGACCAAATTTTCTCTACATTCCTTTAGCAAACTGGATGCGTTGATCATTGAGGGATGTGATAAGCTTGAAAATGTTTTCCCTTCTTATATGGTTGGAAGATTTCGTAGTCTATGCAACTTGAGGGTTATTAATTGCAAGTCAATGAAAGAGATATTTAACCTCCAAGATTGTGAAAAACGAGATGCTGAGGATATGACCAATTTGCAAAATGTTCATGTAGGAGCACTGCCAGTTTTGGAGCATGTATGGAACAAAGACCCAGAAGGAATTCTTAACTTCAAAAATTTGAAAAAGATTCGGATTCAAGAATGTCTCAACTTAAAGCATATATTTCCTGTTTCTATAGCCCTGGGTCTTAAAAAACTTGAATACCTTGAGGTCTGGAATTGTGGCCAATTGAAGGAAATTGTTTGCAGGGGGGAAAGAATCAATGAGAGTAGCATTTCGTTTGAGTTTCCTAGACTAATCACCACCAGATTCTCAAATCTACCAAACCTTGAGTGTTTCTATAGGGGAACACATGAATTATGTTGTTCAGCACTGAAGAACTTATATGTGGAACTTTGTCATAAGCTCAAACTTTTCAAAATGGAAATTGCAAATCCAGAAATTAAGTCAGTCTTCTTGCCTGAAAAGGTATTAATCGGCCTTTTAGGTCTTGTGCATTATTTTTTATTCATAGATATAGATTGAGAATGATAAAAGGAGAAAACAAATACGAATTTCTGAATTTCATGGAAGATGCATTTTCATATATTATCTTTTTACATTAACTTACCTTTATTTATTTCATCCATCATATCTTAGGTAATCTACAGCTTGAAGTCCATGCAAATAGAGCCACGTGAAGCAATTTCCTTAAGGAGATATATGGGCATTTACAGAATGCAGAAATTAGAAGAGTTTCAATTATCTAGACTAGTTGACACTGAGATTCTTTATTTTTTCCTCCACAGAAATCCTAATCTAAGAAGTCTATTGTTGAGTAATTGTTTCTTTGAGCAGTTAGTGCCTTCGAGAAGCCTTATTGGAGAAAGTTCGGGGGTTGTTCCAAAGCTCAGAAGCTTGAAGTTAATAAACTTACCTTCACTTAAGATGATAGACTTTGAAGAAGACACATTACTTTTTCAAAGTTTAGAGTGCTTGATTTTAAAGGAATGTCCATGTCTGAACACCATAGCGCCTTCCTCTGTATCTTTCACTTACTTAACAAATTTGGAAGTCAGTAATTGTAGTAAATTAAGCTATTTGATCACACCATCAACTGCAAAAAGCTTGGTTCAACTCACCACCATGAAGGTAATCCAATGTGAATTGATGGAGACCATTGTTTCATGGCATGAAAGTGATGAACAGATTACTTTCAGACAATTGAAAGAAATGGAACTTGTAGCTCTGCATAAACTTGAAAGTTTCTGTAGTTCCTATCGTTGTGCCTTTGCGTTTCCATTGTTGGAAAAATTCGTAGTGAGCACGTGCGGCAATATGAAAACCTTCACGTTCTCTGAACGAATCAACACGACACCAATGTTACAACAAATATGTGTTAGACATGGAAAGGAGGAAAAAAAATATTGGAAAGGTGATTTAAATGTTACGATACGACACATGCACAAGATTTGGGTACGTATCCATTATTCACAATTATTGACTAACTCTTTATTTTTCTTGATTTTTTTTTGAGAGATCCTATTAAAAACTTTGATTAAAGAATTCATAGATAATTTTTTTTACTAAAATTACGATGGAATTGAATTAAAAATTACAGTGAAATGTGTTAATAATATACTAATACTCTTCAGTTGACAGCATTATCTTCTCTTTTTTTTTTTCTACAGGAATTTATTTGAGTTTCATGTTTATTTAAAATTTCAAGTTTGATTATCTTGATAGACGTTAAGAAGATATTTTTTTGCCTTTCATTAAATCATCTTAAATTCTTAAGTTTTTAATTTTTTATTTTATCAGTAGGTTCTTAATTTGTTAATTAAGAATGTTATATATTAAGTATTTTAATTTTCATTTTAAAAATATTTAATTTTTTTAATAAGTATCCTTGGCATACATTAATGAAAACCAATATTTTAAGTAAAGCTTAGGCAAAAGAATTTGTTTAGAGCTTTTCACATGATTTTTCGTCTTAAAGAAGGGTTTTCTGAATTGAGATGTGATGTTATTTGTGTCTAATCAACTCTATGATACATGTATGCTCTAGCCTTGTCAGGTATTATTTAGCCATCATAAATAACTTCTGAAATTTCAATTTGCACACATGAATTAATCACAATTCGTGCCTTTTATTTGATTTATCTATTTGAATTGGTTGAATTTTTAATTCTTCTAAAATAAGTAAATGTACAAAATGAAAAAATATGTATTAAATTGTTAACTTAAGATTATGAGTTATTTTAATTCAAATGAATGATAAATGTATTTTACTTTTTTTTAACACATTTATTCACTTTAGAGGATATAATTTTGTGGCATATTTGGGAATCATTTAGGAAAATGAGATATTTTTAATATCAAAGGCATTTATATGTCTATCCAATATTTTTACCTTTTTTTTAACCTATTTTTATCTCTCTTTTTTTTTTTTCTCTCTCTCTCTTCCTAGATGTATTCGCCCATAGCCTACATTAAAAGCATTTTAATGAAGTATTAAGACTTCAACAGGTATTTAGGATATTTCTGACTTTAAACCTATTTACAGGCTCTTGATCCAGACAAAATGGCAGCTTCCCATCCTTACGAAACACTCGAGAGCACTCAATTGAAGACTTTGAAGCTGGTGAATTGTCAGCTTGAACAACAAGCAATTCCAACTGTTGTTTTTCCTAGTTTAAAGAACTTAGAAGAATTGGAAGTACGTAGCACCAATGTAAAGGTAATATTTGGTATATTGGGGACTGAGATGAAGGGATATAGCTTTAATTTCCACTGAAGAAATTGACTTTGTGTGAGCTTCCGGATTTGAAACATGTATGGGATAAGGATTGCAAAGGAATTCTCAGCTTTAAAAATCTGCAGGAAGTAATTGTTACTAATTGTAGAAATCTGGAAACTCTGTTTCCTATGGAGCTGGCTAAAAAAGTTGAGAAGCTTGAGAAGCTTGAAATAAGCCACTGTGAAAAGTTTCTAAAAATTGTTGAACAGGATAATGCAGCAATAGAAGCAACAGTAGAAGAATTTTCATTTCCTCATTTGACCTCGCTGAATCTGCGTATGTTACCACAACTCACTTGCTTTTATCCTGGAAGTTTTAGCCTGGAATGCCCCAACTTAAATCATTTAGAGGTGGTGTTTTGTGCTAACTTGGAGACATTTCAAAGTCAGCAAGAGGCTCAAAGTTCTACATCAGTCAATCGACAACCCATTTTCTCTGAAGGAAAGGTTTGTAATGTAATTTGCCTTTTTTACCCTTTTGTGTATCTTTTCTATTTATCATCTAATTGTCACCTTTTGCTCTGCCCGTACTAGGCTATTTTCATTTTGGAGTCATTGAAGCTTGATTGGAAAAACGCTAGGATGCTATGTAATGGAAAATTTCTGGAAGACATGCTTCATAAATTGGTCGAACTTGAGCTGGATTTTATTGATGTGAATCAGGTATCCAATCTTCCTGTTGAGTTACATGAGAAGGCATCTAATTTAGAATATCTTCAAATAAGCCAATGTAGAGCCTCTCAACCAGAACAAGGTGAAATCAGAATGCATGAACACTTGAAAACTTTCTTCTTTGTCTGTAAAGAGCTGCATAAATTATGTGTTTCCTCGTGTCATCATTTGACAACATTAGTACATTCAGCAGTGTCATTCTGCAATCTAAAACAACTTTCTGTAAAAGATTGCCATGGATTGAAGCATTTATTTACATCCTCGGCTGCAAGAAAGTTAGTGCACCTTGAAGAGATGTACATAGTGCAATGTGAATCAATGGAAGAAATATTGGCAGAAGAGCAAGAGGAAACTACTTCAGGAGCAATAAAATTTGAGCGACTCAGCACAATAATTCTAGATTCTTTATCAAGCTTGTTATGTTTTTATTCAGGCAGTAGCACTCTGCTATTATCAACTCTGATAAGAGTGCTCATTTGGAAATGCCCCAACATGAAGACTTTCTCCCGAGGAGACATACATGCAGAATCCTTTCTGGGAATTCAGGGCTCATTAGATACAAAGGAAAAATTGATCTTCCACCAAGATCTTAACTCCACTGTGGAGCAGATGTTCCAACAGCAAGTAAGAACTTTGAATCAATTGATTATCACTCAAGTTATTTTGTGAAGTTAATGATTTTAATTAAAATTTTGTTCTTGTATTTTAAGTATATTTTTAAATAAGTAAAATTAAAAAACAAGTTCAATAGTGTGAATTTTTTTATACCATTAACTAATAAAAAAATCACTGTTAAAATCATTTTCAAGATAATAATTATAAAAGTTGACAAACTTGCTATACATAATGGTTTGTGATTGGATAACAAGTGCTTAGACTATTTTCTCGTTAAAAATGTTTTCTGATTTTACATTAAAAAAATTTATGTTGACAATGCATCACAATTAAACTAAGCAAATAAACCAAGTCTCATAAGAATTTAATTTATATGCATCGTCAATGTAATTATGTAAAACCTTTTTATACAATGCATATATATTAAAGTCCGGCTTAAAGTTTTGCACTATATCCCGAAGGCACAGAAAAACAATTATATTAATACAAAAACAGGACACTACCCGTCAACAGAAGAAAAGGTAAAAAAAAGGCAAAAATACACATAACAAAAACACCCAAATTATTTGCAACATAAATTCCACTCTATTACCTTTTGTTACTTCCTCTAGATTTTCCTCTCAATTTAAAGATGCTAAAATATTGAAAAGCAATGTAAATTTGTAACTTTGTTTAAAGGCACACATGGTCACGCGGAGCAAGCAATGGATATGATATATCTGACGATAAAATTATTGTTTATAGGAACTTTTTAAAGCCATAGACAAGGAGTGTTTTTCTGATTATCATGAGCTAGGAGCATGCTGGGATGGTGAAGTTGTTTCGCAAAGTAAATGGTTGTGCAATGTGTTAATTTTGAAGCTGGACAAGTGTACTCTACCATATGCAATTCCATCTAGTATTCTTACTTGTTTGAAGAACTTAAGAGAGTTGGAAGTACGGGATTCTGACAAAGTAAAGGGAATTTTTGAAGTGAATGACATTGAGATATTGGATACAGACTCCCGGCTGAAGATATTGACATTAATGGGGCTATCGGAGCTAACACATGTTTGGGCAAATAATAGTCAAGGAGTTCCCTTCTTTCAAAATTTGCAACAGGTCGTAGTTAATGGTTGTGAAAACTTGAAAACTTTATTTCCTGCCTCCTTGGCAAAAAATCTTAAGGAGCTTGAGAAACTTGAAATAGTATCTTGTCGTAAATTGCAAGAAATTGTTGAAAAGGAAGAAAGCGCAACAACAAATGTAATAGAGAAGTTTGTGTTCCCTCATTTAAAGATGTTGAACCTTTATCACTTGCCACAGGTCACATACTTTTACCCTCAAACATTCAGTCTGGAATGTCCGTCCTTAAATAACTTATCTGTGTTGGATTGTGATAAACTGGAGTTATTTCAAAGTGCATATTCCAAGAGAGTGGATGAAGGTAATGGTACTTCAATTAACAAACTGCCTCCTATCTCATATTTGAAGGTAAGCATGATGGAATGTGCACTCTCAACTTCTCTTTTCATCTTCTAATTCACTAGTAATTATGTCCTACAATAATCTTGAAATTTTATGAAAGAAGTATTGAATATAAAAAAATGCCATTAATGTCTTGAAAACATTTAATATTTACCATTCAAAACAAGTAGAAAGATTACTTGGCCGATTTAAAATCATTCTCTAATTCACAGTCCATCCATATAATTTGTTTTGCTTTTAATTGCTAGGTCGTCTCCAACCTGAAGGAATTGAAGCTTGATTGGAAACACATTTCGACATTAAGTTTAATGTTTAGGTCAAGGCAATTTACTGAAGATCTCAAACATTTAAATAAAATTTACATGTTCCTTGATACTGATGAGCATGTGAAGACTATTTTGCCTGTTGAAATACTCCAAAAGGCACCAAATTTAACCGAAGTGAGTATAGAATATTGCAATAGTCTTGAGATATTCTTTGATGAAAACCACAAAATAGTTGAGGATGGGATGCTTGGACAGTTAAGAATATTGACACTAAACAAAGTATTTGAGCTCCAATCCATCAAGTCACAGATCATTGAGAAGCTCCACGAATTAAATGTTTTTGAATGTCCTGATTTGACATCTTTAATACATTTTACTGCTACAGTATCTTTCTCTTGTCTGAAAAGAGTGTCTATATCTAACTGTTCCCAATTGCAATATTTATTTACATCATCAGTGGCAAAAAAGCTAATGAACCTTGAGGAGATCACAGTTAATGAATGCAAATCGATGAAAGAAATAGTGGCTCAACAAGGAGATTCAGCACCAGAAGCCATTAAATTTGAGCGGCTCAACACCATTGTTCTCAATTCTTTACCGAGTCTAATGTGTTTTTATTCAGGCAGTGATACTCTGCAATTATCTTATTTGATAAAAGTGCAAATATGGCAATGCCCCAAAATGAAGTATTTCTCCCAAGGAGCCATAGATGCAAAATCCTTTCAGGGAGTTCAGATGTCGCTGGATCCAAATGATGATTTGCTCTTAAACCAAGATCTTAATGCCGCTATTAGAGACATGATCCAATGCCAGGTAAGAAATTCGAGTCCAGTTTCTTGTGGACTAATATAATGTTGGTTGTGTAAGCATGAAATTTGGCACCAAATATCAATTCATGACTGTTGCTAAATGTAGACTTCAATATATTTATCTCAAAAACTCATGTAATTAAAGACCACAGTTTTTATGGAATGACATAAAAGACTGACAAAGTGACAATCATGATTTGTAAATTTTTTTTGATGAAATGAAATCATGAATTTGCAATTTAATTTGATTCAACTCTAATCCATTTTATTGCTAGCACTAAGCTTTTACTTAAAATTTAAAGAGATACTAAAACGAAAAACATTGTAAATTTGTGACGCCGTCACGCAGAGAGCAAGCAATGGGTATGATATATCTAATGATAAACCTATTGCAATATTTACAGGAGTTTTTGGAAGCCTTGCACGAGAGCTATATTTTTACACCTTTTCAATACGGTCTTCTTCCTCCCTTCAAGAACTTAATAGGATTTGAAGGACGGCATAGCTACAAAGCAGAGGTATTTTCTTATATGAATCATACTGAGATGTTCGAAATAGCATCCACAAGTCTTGGCTTTCTTTGAAAAAAGTGATTTTTTTTCCTTTTTTATAGACTTGTTTTTGGTTAGTATTTTTTTTCCTGGACGACATTCACTTTCTCCTTTTTTAAAATTTTAGTCTTTATAAAATATAAGATAAATGTTTATTTTATGTAAGTAGTTTATAATAAATATATTTTTGAATATAAATTATATAATAGTTAATTGTGATAAATATTTCTTTTTGGTTGTAATAGATATTTTTGAACTTGTAAATTATATTTTAGATTAATGAGTAGTAATTTATATATTGATAAATTTTTTAATTATTGATAATTTAAAAAAAATAACTAAAAAAATAAATTTAGAATTAAAAATGAAAATAATAGATTGAAAGAAATCAGGAGATAAGAAAAAAAAAATTAAAAACATTTTTTGTTAAAAACAAAACTCATAAGAGTACTCTCCTTCAAAATGACTTCTAATGTATATATAGAGAGGACTGAATTTTTTATTTTTTTTTTCATTCTGTGGCTACATTTTATTTTCCTTAGTATCAATAGGCAACGAATTTGTGTTAACCACTAACATGTTTCCATTAATATATATATATATATATATATATATATATATATATATAAATTCTTTCCTAAGCATCAATACTGGCTCAAACTTACAAAGTATCACCCTTTAATTAATTATATAAGCGATATTGAGAATTTACAAAATATAACCAAAATAATTCAAAAATTACACAGTAAAAAAAAAATAAAAGCATAATTCTTTGTTAATTTTAATATATAGGATCCACTTAGTAGTAACTTAAAGTGTGTTAATAACCTTAGGTTTAAATATGTCTTTACTACTCAAATTTGGCATTAGCTTATTTTTTTTTATTCCAAAATTTAAAATTTAAATATATTTTTAGTGTTTATAATTTTCAAAAATAATTTGTATTAAATATTTAATTTGATTCATGAAAGATGATAGAGGTGACAAATATGTTCTTGAAAATTTTTTTGTGACATCTGAGTCCTTAAATTTTAATTTTGTTATACAAATTAATTCTTCCATTATAATCAATTTCTAATTCTGTTAGTCTCATGACCAATCAATAATTAATTGTCACGTTGACATATTCTTATTCAAACACGTGACAAAGTAAGAATTTTTAATTTAATTTAAAAAGAACAAATATGACGTTTGAATGACTTATTTCTTCCACTCACTCCTATTATTGCTAAGCTTTGTCTCACGTCTATGAGAGAAATTTTGCAATTCATTAAACATAATAGAAGCACTCATATTTGATTGTTACTTCTTCGCTTGAGATCTTTCATAATGATTACTTATTTTGCTAAACTTTAAATTCAATAATTTAAGGATTCAGATGACACAAGAAAAACTTCTAGGAATTTATCTCCCACCTCTACTATCTTTCGGGAACTAAATTGAGTATTTACTTAGATAATTTATTTTTCTTTTTGTCCAAATGTCGTTGTCACATGTAATCCACTTCCTAGTATTCTTGTTAATAAAATCATCTTATTCAATTATTATTGTACAACTAACTTGATCTATTTCTGTCAGTAATGTTGCAAGTGGTCAACGGGACCAAAACAACCCTTTTCTAGAATTTTAGAGACTAAAAAAACATTTTTTTAATTTTCAAAAAAGAATTTATGTTAAATGTGAAGAACTAAAAATATATTTAAATCATAATTTTATATCATAATTCCGAACACAAAATCTTAAGTTTAAACTTGTTGTCTTTATTATTGTAACTTCTATAAAAAAAAAAATCCCGAGCTTGTAAATTTTATTATTCATTAGTTCATAAGTAACTAACGAATTAATTTTGTAGCTTTTGTTTGAAGAAATATGCAGAAACTTATTTATAGAAATTACATATTTATTAAACCAATTGCAATTTGATTTAATAAAAGGACTAATTCTCCGCATGACAAACCACGATTTGAATCTCCATTACGAAAAGCAAAACATATTTATTACGATTATATAATATTTGCTTTACTTATTTCAGTTCATAAGGTACCGTTTGGTCGGATTTTTTAGTGTTTAATTTAAAGTTAAAAAGGAAGTTTTAAATTTAAGCCGTAAATATTTGATGATTTTATATTTTAAACTTAAAAATTATGCATTTTTTTTTTAATAGTGTCTTCTGAAAACCGAGAGGTAGACCCCAGTTTAATGAAAGATAAATGAATGACAATAATGATTTACAGATTATTATTACGTGTTCTAGTTTTTCCTTTCAATTAAAAGAAGCAAAAGCGAAAAACATTGTAAATCTGTAGTTTTGTTTATTGGCAGACACAGTCACGCAGAGCAAGCATTGATATGATATATCTGATGATAAATAAACCTGTTTTAACATTTACAGGAGTCCCAGAAAGCAGCATTGCATGGTAAAGTTGGTTCGCAAAACAAATGGTTGAGCGGTTTGATAAATTTGCAGCTCTATAAGTGTGTTCTACCATATGCAATTCCATCTGGTATTCTCCCTCATTTAAAAAACTTAAAAAAATTGGAAGTGCTGGATTGCAACAAAGTAGAGGTAATTTTTGATATGAATGACACCAAGATAATGGAAACAACATCCCAACTGCAAATATTGACTTTAACAATGCTACCGAAACTGACGCATGTTTGGGAAAAGAATAGTCCAAGAGTTCTCTTTCAAAGTCTGCAACAGGTCGTTGTCAGTAGCTGTGAAAACCTGCAAACATTATTTCCTGCTTCCCTGGAAAAAAATCTCAAGGAGCTTGAGAAACTTGAAATATTATCTTGTCTCAAATTGCAAAATATTGTTGAAAAGGAAGAAGGCACAGCAACAAACATAACTGAAAAGTTTGTGTTCCCTCATTTAAAGATGTTGCACCTTTTTCAGTTGCCACAGCTTGCTCACTTTTACCCTCAAACATTCACTTTGGAATGTCCCGCCTTAAATAACTTATCTGTGTTGAATTGTGATAAATTGGAGTTATTTCAAAGTGTACATTCCAATGGAGAGGGTGAAAGTAGTGCTTCAATTAACAGACTGCCTCCTATCTTGTATTTAAAGGTAAGCATGATAGAATCTGCACTCGACTTTCTTCTCGTTTCATCTTTCAATTCACCAGTAATGTTATATCCTCATACAAAATCTCTCTAAAGCTTGTAAATAAAGTATTAAATGAAATAACAATTGCATTTAATGCCTTAAAAACATTAAAAAAAATGCAATACTTACTATACAAAACACGTAAGGGCGGAGTAATAGGAGGATCTTTAAGGGTTTTAGAATTATTTTCTGATTCATAAACCTTTCTAATTTTCTTTGCTTTAAATTGTTAGGTCTTTTCCAATATGGAGGAGTTGAAACTTGATTGGAAACACATTTCGGCATTAAGCTTAAGTTTTAGCTCAGTGCAATTCACGGAAGAACTCAAATATTTAAATAAAATGTCCCTGTGCTTTAACGTTGGTAAGAATGAGAAGCCTATCTTGCCAGTTGAAATATTCCAAAAGGCACCCAACTTAATGGAAATGACTGTAACAGATTGCAATAGTCCTGGCATGTTCCTTACTCAAAACCCCAAATTTAGAGAAGAGGGGATGCATGGACAGTTGAAAATATTGACACTACAAAGAGTATCTGAGCTCCAGTCCATTGAGTCGGAAGAATCATCATGGATAAACACAATCAGTGAGAAGCTCTATGAATTAAATGTTCTTCATTGTGATCATTTGACAACATTAGTACATCATACTTCTATAGTATCTTTCTCTTGTCTAAAAAAAGTGTCTATATCCTACTGTTTTCACTTGCAACATTTATTTACATCATCAATGGCAAAAAAGTTAATGAACCTTGAGGAGATCACTGTTAAATATTGTGAATCGATGAAAGAAATAGTGGCTAAACAGGGAGATTCAACTTTAGAAGCCATTAAATTTGAGCAGCTCAACACCATCATTCTACATTCTTTACCAAGTCTGATATGTTTTTATTCGGGCAGTGATACTCTCCAATTATTGTCTTTGATAAAAGTGCACACATGGCAATGCCCCAGAATGAAGTATTTTTCCCAAGGAACCATAGATGCAAAATCCTTTCTGGGAGTTCAACTGTCGCTGGATCCAAATGATGATTTGCTCTTAAACCAAGATCTTAATGCCTCTATAAGAGAGATGTTCCAACGGCAGGTAAGAACTTCATTTGAATCAAGTGATGAAGTCTATTAGCTTTGCGTGAATTTAATATCTTCAACAATGTATTTATAATATATCAAATTTGTAAGTATTTAAAACTTTTTTGTTTTATAAATTAAATATCATTTTCTATGTCAAAAGAAAAAATTAAATATCATTTATCTCATATTAGCAAATTAGCTTGTTAGTTGAATGTATTTTTTTCACTATATTTTAATGTTAACAATTTTAATATCATTATTTATATTAAATATGTATTATTAAAAATATTTATTAACCATTAACCTCTTTACTAGACTAAATAAGGCAATTTAATATGACTGGGTCTATTTGGATACAATCTTAAAGGACTCTTGAGAGTTTTTTTACTAAAAATGAAGAATATTTTTTAATAGAGAAGTTCTTAAAAGTTGTTCTAAACTTCTATCCAACCATACTCTATGTTTGTCATATCATTTCAGCTAGTTTTTAGCTTTTTTTTTACTAGCTGAAAAACTTGTTTGATCTTTAGTAGTATTTGATAAATATTTTTTTTTAGTAGCTTATATCATTTTTTGAGGCACTATTTGAAATTTCAAGTAACATTTTTTGTTTAAACACGTGCTTCTAACTTCTTATATTTTATTCCCCTTTTGTCCTTAACATATGTATTAAATTTATTCCTATTATTTTTTATTTAATGTAGGATTTTATTGAATTTTTTTGTTTCTCTTCTTCCACTCATAAAGTAGGATTTTATTATTTTCACCTTTTTATATTATTATTTTTAACATTATATTTCTGTATATTTTTATAAATACATTACATTAATTACATTAATTAACATAATGAAAGTATAACGTTAATTTAAATCTATTTTATTTTTACTTTATTTTAAACTTGATTGAAAATATTTTAAGATATAATAGAACATTCATAATAGATTCCACTTTAATACATTTTGTTAGATTCCATGATTTGCATGTTAGATTCCACTTTAATCCATCTTGTTACTTGCTGCAATTTTTTATTTTTCATTTCAATTTAAAGATGCTAAAATGAAAAAGCATTGTAAATTTGTAACATTGTTTACATATCTGATGATAAACTTATTGTAAATCTGTAATATATACAGAATTTTTTTGAAGTCGACGGCATGCACTATTTTTCTGATGATATTGAGTTACTAGCATGGGGGCATCGTGATGTTGGTTCGCAAAACAAATGGTTGAGCAATTTGGTAACTTTGAAACTGGACAAGTGTACTCAACCTTATGCAATTCCATCCAGTATTCTTCCTTGTTTAAAGAACTTAGAAGAGTTGGAGGTACGGGATACTACCAAAGTAGAGGGAATTTTTGAAATGAATGACACAGAGATATTGGAGACAGCATCCAGACTGAAGATATTGACTTTAAAAGGGCTATCGGAGCTGATGCATGTATGGGAAAAGAATAGTCAAGGAGTTCTCATCTTTCAGAATCTGCAACAAGTCGTTGTAAGCAGTTGTAAAAACCTGCAAACTTTATTTCCTACTTTGTTGGCAAAAAATCTTAAGGAGCTTGAGAAACTTGAAATAGAATCTTGTGATAAATTGCAAAAGATTGTTGAAATGGAAGAAAGCATAGCAACACACGAAACAGAAAAGTGTGTGTTCCCTCATTTAAAGATGTTGCACCTTTGTCAGTTGCCACAACTTGCTCACTTTTACCCTCAAATATTCAGTCTGGAATGTCCTTCCTTAAATAACTTGTCTGTGTTGGATTGTGATAAGTTGGAGTTATTTCAAAGTTCACACTCCAAGGGAGAGCGTGAAGGTAGTACCTCACTTAACAAATTGCCTCCTACCTCATGTTTAAAGGTAAGCATGATAGAATCTGCACTCAACTTTCTTCTCTTTTCATCTTCTGATTCACCTGTAATGTTCTTATCTTCATAGGAGTCTTCTTGAAATTTTATACAAAAAGTATTAAATGACAAAAATGTATTTAATATCTTGAAAACAGAAAAAGAAAAAAAAAAAAAAAATATTTACTTTTCAAAACCAATAGGAAGATTAGTAAGTTATGTTGTAGAAGGATTTAAAATTGTTCTCTAATTCACAATCTTGTATATGATTTGTTTTTCTTTTAATTGTTAGGTCATTTCCAACCTGAAGGAATTGAAACTTGATTGGCAACACATTTTGGCCTTAAGCTTAAGGTTTAGGTCAGGGCAATTTACTGAAGGCCTCAAATATCTAAATAAAATTTCCCTGTTCCTTGACACGGATGAGAATGAGAAGCATTCTTTCCCATTGAAATACTCCAAAAGGCACCTATTTTAACAGAAATGAGCATAAAATATCGCAATAGTCTTGATATATTCCTTGCAGAAAACCCCAAAATTGGTGAGAACAGGATGCTTGGACAGTTGAGAATATTGACACTATACAAAGTACGAGAGCTCCAATCCATCAAGTCACGGGAATCATCATGGTTGAACACAATCAGTGAGAAGCTCCAAGAATTAAATGTTTTCGAATGTCCGGATTTGTCAGCATTAGTACATTCTACTGCTACAATATCTTTCTCTTGTCTGAAAAGAGTGTCTATATCCAACTGTCCCCAACTGCAATATTTATTTACATCATTCATGGCAAAAAAGCTAATGAACCTTGAGGAGATAACAATCAAGGAATGTGAATCAGTGAAAGAAATAGTTGCTAAACAGGGAGATTCAACTTCAGAAGCCATTAAATTTGAGCGGCTCAACACCATTGTTGTCGATTCTTTACCAAGTCTTATATGTTTTTATTCAGACAGTGATACTCTGCAATTACCATCTTTGATAAAAGTGCATATATGGCAATGCCCCAATTTGAAGTATTTTTCCCAAGGAGCCATAGATGCAAAATCCTTTTTGGGAGTTCAGATGTCGCTGGATACAAGTGATGATTTGTTCTTCCACAAAGATCTTAATGCCACTATAAGAGAAATGTTCCAACAACATGTAAGAACTTCATTTGAATCAATTGAACAAGTCTTGTAGGCTTGCGTGAATTGAATGTCTTCAACAGCTTTTTGCATTGTATATTAAATTTATTAGTATTTACTAATATTTACTCTCTAAATATCTTTTATATCATACTTAAAAATTAGCTTAATACATACGATTTTTCCTTTTACAATATTTTCATATCAACATTTGTTTCTAATATCTTTGATTTTGATATTATTAAAACTAGTTAACCATGAACTTTTCTATTGGATTAGATTAGGCCACTCAATATATCAAATTTATTCACCTTCCTGTTAAAGGAATAGATAGTTAGCCAATCATTACAAGATTTTTTTTTCTTTTTTGTGAATGATGATTGACATTTTATGAACTAGAGTCAATATACAGTAGATGATTACATGGAGGGGTTTCCTACACTCTTCAAATCTCACTGTGATTAGTTGAAGTCGTCTTCTCCTTCTATGCAGTACTCAGGAAGTTTGCTTGTACTTCCAAATGGCAAAATTACAGGTCCATGCATTGCAAAACACTAACCTAAGCGAAGGCCAAGTGCTTTTGCCAGCATTGGGTCTTCATAGCTACAGGCATAGGAAGTTAGGAACTCAAGTCAACAAGACGCATAAAACCTGTGGTTAAAAATCATTAGAACCAAAGTCTAGAAAGATGTTTAAGACCTGTGGTTAAAATCCCGCACTGAAGTCTAAAAGGATATATGCATAGGATCCACTGCTAAGAGCACAGAGACATAAGTCTAATAAGAAAAATAAGAAAAAATTCTGGTTTCTTGCATGACTGATTAATGCTTATAGGGCTTCTTCCAAGATTTTAGAAATATCACCCAAATAGTTTAATAATTACGCAACAAAAGGAAAAGCATAGCACATTTAGTTAGTTTTAAATTTAAAGGGAAAGCTATTTTGATTCGATAATATTTTAAAATTAAAATGTATTTTTGTTAGACATCAGGAACCACAGGAGATAAATAGAGGGTTAAGAGTGTATTATAGGAAGAAGGGTACAAATAGGAATTAATTAAATCTATTTGACCCTTTGACCTATTAGTTAGGTTCACGGTTACTGTTAGTTAGTTTTTCAGTCTTCTTTAAATAGTTTGGTTGTTTAGGCTGAGGGGGTAAGGAATTACTATTGTAAGTGAACAACTGGACTGATTCCAGTGTGAAAGGAGTAGCCTCCTTTGTGTAATCATTTTCTTTCAAAAGATTCAATAAACTCAGGGACGAATAATTCCCTTTCTCTTTCGGACCTTGTCAAGAACCTAACAATTTTTTAGCTAGAAATTTTTGAAAAATGTCTTGAAACCAAGTTAAATTGACCTCAGTTACAAGAAATGAAAGATAAATTATCGTAAGATGATCTTGATTTGCAAGTTAGATTCCACTCTAATCCATTTTATAATGTGCTGTAGTTTTTCCTCTCAATTTCAAGATGCTAAAATGAAAAACATTGCAAATATGTAACGTTGTTTATATATCTGATGATAAACTTTTTTGTAAAATTTACAGGAATTTTTTAAATCTGTGGACAAGGAGTGTTTTTCTGATGATCATGAGCTTGGAGCATACTGGCATGGTAAGGTTGTTTCACAAAGTAAATGGTTGAGCAATGTGTTAATTTTGAAGCTGGACAAGTGTACTCTACCATATGCAATTCCATCTGGTATTCTTCCTTGTTTAAAGAACTTAAGAGAGTTGGAAGTACGGTATTCTGACAAAGTAAAGGGAATTTTTGAAGTGAATGACATTGAGATAATGGATACAGCATCCCAGCTGAAGATATTGACATTAGAAGGGCTATCGGAGCTGACACATGTTTGGGAAAAGAATAGTCCAGGAGTTCCCATCTTTCAAAATTTGCAACAGATTGTTGTTAGTGATTGTGAAAACCTGCAAACTTTAATTCCTGCTTCCTTGGCAAGAAACCTTAAGGAACTTGAGAAACTTGAAATAGAATTTTGTGATAAATTGCAAGAAATTGTTGAAAAGGAAGAAGGCATAGCAACAAATGTAACAGAAAAGTTTGTGTTCCCTCATTTAAAGATGTTGCTCCTTTATGACTTGCCACAGCTTACTTACTTTTGCCCTCAAACATTCAGTCTGGAATGTCCTGCCTTAAATAACTTATCTGTGTTGTATTGTAATAAATTGGAGTTATTTCAAAGAGCACATTCCACGGGAGAGCATGAAGGTAGTACCTCAATTAACAGACTGCCTCCTACCTCATTTTTAAAGGTAAGCATGATAGAATCTGCACTCAACTTTCTTCTCTATTCATCTTCGATTTCAACTGTAATGATGTTATGTCTTCTAACTTATCTTCTTAGGAATCTTCTTGAAACTGTATACAAAATGTATTAAATGAAAAACAAATATATTTAATATTTTGAAAATATATTAAAAAAAATTAACAAAATCAACATTTACCATTCAAAACAAATAGGAAGATTAGTAAGATCTTGAAGGAGGATTTTAAAATTTTAAATTATTCTCTAATTCACAGTTTTTCATTTTTTTTCTTCTGTTAATTGTTAGGTCATTTCCAACCTGAAGGAATTGGAACTTGATTGGCAGCAAATTTCAGCATTAAGCTTAAGGTTCAGGTCAGGGCAATTTGCCGAAGGCCTCAAATATTTAAATAATTTTTCCCTGTTTCTTGACACTGATGAGAATGAGAAGCCTATCTTGCCCATTGAAATACTCCAAAAAGCACCCAATTTAACAGAAATGAGCATAAAATATAGCAATAGTCTTGAGATATTCCTTGCTAAAAACCCCAAAATTGGTGAGAGCAAGCTGCTTGGACAGTTGAGAATATTGACACTATACGAAGTACTTGGTCTCCAATCCATCGAGTCACAGGACTCATCATGGTTAAACACAATCTGTGAGAAGCTCCAAGAATTAAATGTTTTTGAATGTCCAGATTTGACAACATTAGTACATTCTACTGCTACAGTATCTTTCTCTTGTCTAAAAAAAGTGTCTATATCCAAATGTTCTCATTTGCAATTTTTGTTTACATCATTAGCTGCAAAAAAGCTAATGAACCTTGAGGAGATCTCAGTCAAGGAATGTGAATCAGTGAAAGAAATAATTGCTAAACAGGGAGTTTCAACATCAGAAGCTATTAAATTTGAGCGGCTCAACACCATTGTTCTCAATTCTTTACCAAGTCTTACAGATTTTTATTCGGGCAATGATACCCTCCAATTATCGTCTTTGATAAAAGTGCATTTATGGCAATGCCCCAATTTGAAGAATTTTTCCAAAGGAGCCATAGATGCAAAATCCTTTCAGGGAGTTCAGAAGTCATTGGATCCAAATGATGATTTGTTCTTCCGCCAAGACCTTAATTCCACTATAAGAGAGATGTTCCAACGACAGGTAAGAACTTCGTTTCAATCAATTGATGAAGTCTCCTCTATTAGCATTGCATGATTTTAATGTCTTCAACAATGTTTTATAATATATTAAATCTATTAGCATTTATTATTTACTGATAATTTATTCTCTAAATATCATTTATATCATATTAGTGAGTTCTTCCGTGTTAACAACTTTTTATTTTTGTGTACGTAACTTATGAATTAATTTTGTAGCTTTTCTTTGAAAAATTATATATGAAGTGTTAGGGTTATTTTGTACTTGTATGTTTTGTAGAGGTATATTTTTCTCAAAGCTTAATCTAATTTTATTCACATGATATCTATTTGTAGAGAAAAATTGTAATACAAAAATTCAAATAAAATATGTTATGAAACTATTCATAATCAATTACAAATTTATTAAGATGATATAATTCTCTCTATTTCATATTTATATAATACTTATTTTCTATCAAGGGGTATAGTTCAGTTTATTCAGTAGTTGTGTTCTATTCCTATGGATAAAAGAATAGTACTTTTTATGATTTCTGTTTATAAATGTAGAATTTGGTCTACTCTTTGTTGACCAAATTTAAAAAGGATGTTCTTTGAAAGTTGTCTAATATTTTAAAATTAGTACATTTTAAAATCAGCAGCTATGTTCAAGTGGGATTTTTCTGAAATGTGTTCTTGAAACCATGTAATAGATCTCAATTTCTTTAAATAAAAGATCAATTGAATGACAATCAGAATTTGCAACCTGGATTAAACTTTCTTGCAATTTATATAATTACTCACTCTAGTTTTTCCTTCCAATTTGAAGATGCTAGAACGAAAAGGATTGTAAATTTCTAACATTGTTTATAGGCAGACAGAGTCGCGCAAAGTAAGCAATGAATTTGATATATCTGATGATAAATGTATTGTAATATTTACAGGAGATTTTAAAAGCCGGATATGGGGTATATATTTCTGAGTTACATATTGATGTTGATCTTCAAAATTATGTGTTTGAAAGTTTGGTAATTTTGAAGCTGGACAAGTGTGCTCTACAGTATGCAATTCCATCTAGTATTCTTCCTTTCTTAAAGAACTTGGAAGAGTTGGAAGTGCAAGATTCTGACGAAGTAGAGGGAATTTTTGAAATGAATGACACTGAGATAATAGAGACAGCATCCCGCCTGAAGATATTGACTTTAAAAGGGCTATCGGAGCTGAAGCATGTATGGGAAAATAATAGTCAAGGAGTTCTCATTTTTCAAAATCTGCAACAGGTCGTTGTTAGCGGTTGTAAAATTCTGCAAACTTTATTTCCTGCTTTGCTGGCAAAAAATCTTAGGGAGCTTGAGAAACTTGAAATAGAATCTTGTGATAAGTTGCATGAAATTGTTGAAAAGGAAGAAGGCACAAGACCCAGAAACGGATCCCGTATTATCACCATTTGAAGCCGAGGCCGAGGCAACATCTCGGTCTGGCGTCGCCCTCAACCTAGATTCCCCTTCGTCCCCAGAGGAGTCAACATGAACAACACCTAGATTAGCCATTACGTACCTGAGTTTTGAACTTGACCTATCGCTGTGGAGTGCTCAAATGCAGACGATCTCGGCTCAGAGTAACTGATAAGTGTCTTTGGGACCACCCCCCATACACCTATTTATAGGAGTTTCTCGTAAGTATCTGAAGAGACGCCCTCCTGTGCACCGTTGGATCATTTCGATCCGACGGTCCGCGATGCGCAACCCCTCTCATGCGTCATTAATACCTAACGGTTATAACCTTTG